TTATGGGTATAGGCATTTGCAAAAAGGCATGGATGTATCCCTTAATACTACACTCTAAGTCCTAACCTCTGGGGTATGGGCGTTCTCGAAGGCATTTGCATAACACACGGATGTATCTATGGATACGACATCCATAATCCTAACATCGTTGTAGGTCCTATTGTACGTGTAATTATGTTTATTAAGGGGAATGATCTTAATTAAGTCAGTCACTATAGCAGTTGGTGACTCGTGTTACTCGTTCGTTGTTCGGTTGTGTTTGTATGGGCTAACCATTTGGTCATAACCAGAATGACACGTACACTCCAACACGAAGTGCGATGCCAAATGTCAGCTATGAAGATGGCACCACAAAGTTTCGCTATGTTGACAAGACCTTATTTTCTCAACTACAATTAGCAAACTTTATTCTCGCATTACAAGCTTGTCGTAATGATTTGCATCACTTTATTCGCGAGTCTATGCAGCAGGAGGTCATGCCATCCTCAAGATGTCAATGGGGAGAAAGATATTGCGAGCAACGATGGGGTTGTGAAACTCATAATGAAAAGGAAGATGGGAAGAAAGATGAGAGGAAGGATGTGGATGAACAGTCCGAGCCTGTCTTCGCAGTCTATGAAATTGAAGCAATGTCATTCAAGTCGGTGACAAATATCATTGAGGCATTAGAGGAATGCCGCAATGATATGTTGTTAAGGATTAAAAGTCAGAATGGGGGTTATTATCATCCAAAGAATCTAGGTTGTGATGTTTTTGCATGTAAAGCCCATGGCCCCTCTGTGCACGCGAGCGATGGCTGGCTGGATCGGATTGAGGTGGAGGTTGCGAAAGCGCTGGTTCAGCAAGCAACAAGAAAAAAGGGAAAGAAAAATTTGAAAAATCGTTCGTTTTGCCGGCAGGGCTTACCTCGATGAATATCTAGGTCAATATCCAGATTCAGTTGATGCTTAAACGAGAGAGAGAGAGAGAGAGAGAGAGAGAGAGAGAGAGAGAGAGAGAGAGAGAGAGAGAGAGANAGAGAGAGAGAGAGAGAGAGAGAGAGAGAGAGAGAGAGAGAGAGAGAGAGAGAGAGAGAGAGAAAAAAAAAAAAAAATAGACCGATGTATCATTGGTTGTGTTTTGAGGTTAAGGAGTAATGAGGGTAGGTTTCACGTGTACATCTCCCTTCCCCACTTGTATGTAGACAGATCCCTGAAGTGGTTCGTGAGCGCCTCCAAATGCATCTTATAGTACTGTCAAACGGTCGGGGCACCTCTGTGTGGACTATTAGGGCATCCAAATTGAACGAAATGTGTGTCGACATATGTTCAAAGATCGAGGTGAGACTTCTGTTTCGGTGGCTTCTCGCCTATATAGGGCGATGGCAATGAACAGAGACTCAGAGAGTGGCACTTTGTTGGGTCTGCAAGGAAGTGACGAATGTCGAAGAAGCTGTCGGATGCATAGAGTGACTTATCCGTACTCGTTCCCCATATTTGTCTCTCTCTCTTCTTGGATTGAGGACTGTTGTACTAATAGTGCGACAAGGTGGTCGTGAAAAAAAAAAAAAAAAGTGATGCGTGGACTTGCCTATCTGTGTTTTTCACCACTTAGTTGCTTCTATGCCGCTCTTCTGTCTCATTCCTTGCAGGTGTATGATTTTGCACTTAAATACTGTGTCACTTTTTTTCTTTTTTAGTCTAAATTTTTTTTGTGCATAACTTGAGGCCTTTTCTAAGCATTGGAATGTTGTTGGCATCGTTTCTTCTGTTTTCCAAATTAATTGGAGAGAGAGAGAGAGAGAGAGAGAGAGAGAGAGAGAGAGAGAGAGAGAGAGATGTTGGGTTAACAAACCGAGGTTGGATGATGGGGACTTTGGGAAGGTGGAAGGAGGGAATCGATAGCAGATGTGCGCGGTATATATATATATAGGTTTTGTTTGCGCAGTTCAGGCATATTTCAGGGAACTCCTTTTATCATCAGTTGAGGTTCCTGTCAAATTGTATAGTAAGCACTGCGGCGTGTTAATATTCGATCTTATTTCGTGAACAAAGTGTATATGGGCTTCCATATCTATGTTGATCTTATATTCATCGAAGCATCCGAGTCTGTTTATGTATGTTGATGTCATCTCTAATGTACCATAACGAGGTACATGTCGGTTCTGATGCTACGTTGAGATTCGTATATGACTACCGGGTCAGGATGAGTAGCTTAGTTCAGGGTTGGGGTGTATGTTTGCATTTAACTTGTATGGTACATAGGGAAGGATTGATGTGGGTCTGTAAAACTTAAGAGATATGATGTAGGTTTTGTAAGTCTTTGGAATGTATCTCATGCCATGGATTCGCAAAGTTGTGAATGTTAGTGTAACGGTACGTAAGAAATGTGGTTTGGTATTTGGAGGCTACCTTAAGATGAGAGTGGTTTTCGGTCACGGTTGCACTGCCGACGTGGTTCTTGGTTTTCGGTCATGGTTGCACTGCTGACGTGGTTCTTGGTTTGCATGTAGGACAGGGTGTATGAGCAAGTCTATTTTTGACATGACATTGTTTCTTGTAAGGAGAGGAAAACCTCACGGGACCAGGGTTTAGGTTCTGTAAAGTTGCAGAGCGGGTAAGAGGGTTTGTGTGGATCATAAATCCTTTCGCAGTAGAGTCATGGCCAAGGTTTCAAAGGTGCAATTGTGCGAGTCCCAGTTTCAGGTGAGCTTTGCGTTGCGGACATGGATTTGGGGCCGAGCACAAATGCGAGTTGGACTTTGAGTCAGCAGTTGATTTATAGTCTGGTTAAGGGTCAGACCTATGTTTCACAAGTATGGTTCTATGTGAGGTTTTGGGGCACGAGTTTAGCAAGGTGTAGAGTGTGCATCAAGTACGTCCGGGTCAGAAAACCTTTGCAGCTAAGCCAAGCCAGGAACGTTCGATTGTGGATCCAATGTATGTGTCTATGGTAAGAATTGTAGAGTTCTTCAGTTCATGTCGTGTCTAACATTTCTTTGACACTGTGGGTTCGGGTAATTTTTGACTTCGTGTTGGACGTAATGCAGGTCTTTCTGGAGCGGAAACGGCGTTTCATATTCGAGACGGGTAAGGAAAGACACATTTCAATCTCATCCATGCATTATTTTCGTGTATAATTCCATCGCGTTTGGTGAATGTATATGCCAACATGAGGATGCATGTTTTGGTCAATGTCTGGGTCCAAAGCTGAGGTTCGGGTATGTTACTTGCACTTAGGTATTCGGGTCAGGTTCACGTGTGTACTTCGGTTAAGGTGTTTGTCATCACGTCCGAATCTATGGGACTTGATCACGCCCTTATGTCTGCAGTTGGTACTCGTGTCGGCGTTTTGGTCATTATTTGGGCGAGTATATATACCGACTTAAGGACACATATTTTGGTCATTGTTTGGGGCCGAAGGTAAGTTTTGGTAGCACGTGTTGTTGTCAACATAGGAGTCTTGGGGTTTTTGTTGTCGTCTAGCGATTCTCGTCTGCAGTTGGCAGAATGTATATGCCAGCAGGCTGTGTGTCCGAAATTCGATTTAACGCGGGGTGCGCATTAAAAATTTGAACGCGCGTTCAATTCGCGTTCAATCCCCGTTCAAACGCGCGTTGGACGCGAATGAACGGGGTCCGCGAACCATTATTTCGCGCTGTCGGGGGGGGGGAGGGGGTTTTGTGAAGGTGCGGGGTGGTAGTACTCGTTGTCGGGTACCACCCCGTGCATTCTTTTTTTTTTTTTTTTCAACCCGCGGGGCACCGGTCTGCGGCGGATTCCTGGGGGTTGTTGGCACAGGGGGAACGGGCGGAACAGGTACTTAACGCGCAAGCGCGTTCGGCCGCAGCTAATTTGCCGCGCGAGCACTAACGCTCCAACGCGACGAACAGGTTGCCCGTCAGGTTGGAACGCGCACGCGCGCGCGCGCGCGC